TATATATACTGGAGAGCTACATCTGTATATATGTGTGTGTGTGTGTGCGCGTGCGTGCGTGCGTGCGTGTGTCTTACTTCATCTCCAGCACCTCCTCCAGGTGTTTCCTGCGCTCAGCACGCAGGGTTGAGAGGTGGGTCTCTTTCTCACACAGAGACTGCTGCGTGGAGGACAATTTGGCCCTCATGGACTCCAGCTCCTGCTTCACTTTCTCCATGGCCCCCAGCAGCTCTTCCATCTGGAAACACAAACGACAACAATTAAATCATGAATAAATGTAATCGGATTCCCTACATAAATCACTGAAAGCACAGGGTTCTTTATTAAAAAAAACAATGCTCTTTGGGTGACTTTCCAGTATGAAGTGCTTTAATAAGAGGCAGCAGAATTCATGTGGGCTTAAGAGAAGGGACTTACAACTTTAACACTTATATCATTAAACTACAGCATGGCATTTCATTTACCTGTTGTTCATTTAAAAAAGGGCCCAAAAGCACCCTTGTTTCATATCAGTAATATTTTAATTACAATTGACTGATTGAAAAGGTGTATCCCCAAATGATCAAGTCTATTAGCTTCCTGATTTTATTGCCAATGCCAATTAATTATTCAGCATTGCTAGGTTTAATAAGCAACAGCAGGTAAACAAAACAACATTTAAAATTACATGGGCTGGAAACAGCAACACCAATCCAACGACAAAAAGTCAAATTCCTTCAAAAATGGTCAAACTCCACAGACATGTATTGCAGGGTCAGAGAATTGTAGAGGTGTTGCTGTTATTGTGTCCACCCCTGGAAGTGTTGTTGCTCACTGATGGGAGGTCACACATACTGGGCTCATACCTTAGACAACTTAATGTGGGCGAGGTTGGACTCATGCATTGGATTGAGTAAGTGCTTCTGAGAGGCGGTGTGTAGCAGAGAGAAAACGAGAAAACCACAAGCAAAGATAAAAGAACTGAGAAAGAGACGGAGGCCAGAAGAGAGGAAGGAGGTGGAGAGAGGACCAGAAACACCACAATGGCAGCAAAAGGGATGAGGAGAAAGAACCTCAGTATATGAAGGTGATTCTTTTATCTGAATATACATTTGTTTATGCTTTATGAATGTGTGTTTCTTTGGATTGATTAAAATTGCTTGGTGTTGTGTGTGTTCAGGGCGAGTTGTGTACCTGTCTCTCCTGGACCGACCTGGCAGACTCCTCCTGAGCCAGCACCATCTCTCGCTCTGCGGTGATCTGAACACTCTCTCTCAGCGCCTCCTCCAGCTCCTCGATGCGATCCGACTTCTGACGCAGAGTGTCCTACACAACACGAGTAGGGAGAGATCAGATTACGGTTTGTTGGTGTCTGAACTCAGTGCAAGCCTAACAACAGCCCAATTTATATTGACTTTTTAAGAAAAATATAAAAATGTATAACCCATATGTATGCATACTGGCAGATGTATGAAAGAAAATGTGTGTGAATGAAAACAAGTCTTCAAATGACTTTAAGTACAAGCATTTTGACATGTTTGAACACTACAATAGTAATCTGGATTAGACCAAAGTGTCATTTCATTGCAGCTCAATTCTTTTGACATTTCTTGTACAATTTTAAAGCTTTTATTCCATCCCAATTTTAATGTCTTCAAAACAAAGCATTGGGCTTCTCAAGGACTTCCCTTAGGCTTCAACCACATATTTAACACAGTTTTCTCAAACCACATCTGGCTACATTTGCACTATCCCATTGCGGGTCAAAATAGAAATCCTATTTAAGCTAATTTCAGGCTTGAAAAACATTCAGGACCGGCAAAGGACCCTGATTGTTCTAATGCAAAGTTCATACAAGCGCACCGCACAGGTGCCTCACCTTCACCTGCTGGGAGCTCTCGGACATGTTGTCCTCCCTCTTCCTGGCCTCATCCACCAGCCGAGCGTTCCTGCTCTTCTCCTCCTGCTCCTTGTGCTTCAGAGACGCCACCTTCTTCGTCTGGTCCTTCATCTGCCTACAGGGACAACACGGGATACATGCGAGAGGTTACATGTTATGTACAAGTAAATGGAATACATGTAATTTATGATTCTAACTGAATAAAGATGGTGAATTGAAGTGCAAATGAGTTATACTTAGTACAGATATCTGGGGACAGAGGGGCCAATCTATTTAACTATGTCAATTGTTTTGCACTGTAGTATTCATTTTTGTTTATGTTTTGATCAATTTGTTGCTGCCTTGATAATCTTTGTACTTTAAATATTCCTGTTAAATGTTGCTACCTAGATGCCTGTGCATTATTTATTACTTAAATACAATACATTACATGTTTATCCATGTATTTACACTGGCAGAAAATCTGTAATTAATATTGGCGAATATCGAAGGGGCAGGTATTGAGACTGAAAATGATGGATAGGAGCATCCCTACATGTCAAATATGTGTACCAAGTAAATAAAAGGAAAGCTTTTTCTTTTACTTATAACAATTTCTAAACTAAGTAAAGACGGCTTAATTTATATTTTGCTGACTCTTATACATTGCCACATTAATGATCATCCATGTAGCCTTTATAAATCAGTAATGATTGTTAGTTAACGCAATTTCAGGAAGCATATAAAAAGGCATTTATAAATCATATGTGAAGACGTGATGCAATGAAAAGCTACCCTTTTTAAAAACGCACGAAAATCATGTGCATGGTCACGTGTATAGCTTTACAGACTTGTTGTGGCTAGATTTGAGACAGCCTTGCAAAAAGTCAAAAAGGTTGAAAGACAGAACAATAAAATGGTGGATGAGAGCCTGAACAGAAAGAAGGAAAAAAACTAAAGCTTGATATCTCAAGACAAGGCTGTCGCTTGAAGCATCACATGAGGTGGAGAGAAACAGGGGAGGAAAACGTGGAAAGAAACCAAAATAAAAAAGGATGCCAGGGTCAGGGAAGAGAGAAAAGAGCAAATACTAACCTGGAGGCGACACTGGTGGAGTGAGAGATTTCCAGTTTAAAGACAAGAAAGCATTAAAAGAGAAAAACAGACCAGGAAGAGGAGTCAATAAGGAAAAGATAAAGAAGGATGGGGACCCTACTACACATCAGCTCTAGCATTCTGTGAGGGGTCCAGTGTCACAAGAACAAGACAACAATTGCAGAAGGAGGACTTTTGTATGCCAACTACTATAGCTGTACCTACTAGTTTTAGATCAGGTCTGATAATAACATTCATCATATCAGCAAGATGCAAAAATGGAACATGGCCAATGATTTTTGATTTGATGTGCTGGAGGCAATAATCTCAAGAGTGACATCATGTCATTGACAAACTGTTTGCATCAGTCATGAGGAACAGTGGGCACAAGTCCAATCAGGGATGAGAGCCCACAGCAAAAAGCACCGCATGGATGCCTAACACACATTAGCACTTAAAAGAGAAAAGTATTGACTCCAGGGCAAACAATCAAAAACCGTATGTACATTAAAACACACACATTTATTAAATACTGTGCAGCTAAGGATTTCCAGTCGCCCTTTTTTTAAGGATGCCGGTTTCCACCTACCCCTCCAGCTCATTTATCTTTTTGTCCTTGTCGTTCTTCTCATTCTCCATTTCCCGAAGGATGTCCAGCAGGCGGTCCACCTCAGCTTGGGCCTTCCCAGAATCCTCTTTGTGGCGAGCCACTTCCTGTTTGAGGTTCTCAATGCGCTCAGCCAGCTCAGTGTTGGCCTTAGCCTCCAGCGTTGCGTTTTGAGCCTGACAAAAGACGGGAAGCCAGTTAGAAAGCAGTTGTATTCACTACAGCGACCACAGGTAAATGTTAGATAACAGACCATGTATGTATGTAAACTCACTCTCTTGAGATGATTCTCCACTTTGAGCAACTCCTCCCTCTTATGCTCAAAGGCAATTTCCATACTCTTGAGTTTGGAGTCTTTCTTTAGCCCAGAGGAGGCCAGAGATGATGCATGCTCCTTCAGGTCCAACAGAGACGTCTGCACGGACACAGAAGTATAAATGAACCTGTTCCAGCTTATTGAACGCACAGGAGATTGCGAATACATTAGATAGTTATAGATATAATACAGGAATCCCTGACTCATCGCAAGTAAGACTAATGGAAAAGAACGTTGTTATGTTTCAGTGTATTTATAGAATCACAGTAAACAAGAGTTTGCCTGTGTGTGTGAGCTTATCTGGATGTTCTCCTCACCTCTCTGTCTGACAGGTCTCCCTGCAGTAAGCTCAGCTTCTCCCTCAACTCTTTCAGCTCCTTCTTGTTAGAGTCGATCTCCTCCGTCTTTTCCCGGTCGTCTCTGTCTCGCTGATCTTTTAGGCGCTCAATGATGCGCTCCTATGATGAGGTAGAGGAAGAAAAAAAAGCTCATTCAACATTTGCAAATATAATCAACACACACATTGCTACAACAGGGTATATGCAGGAATCCTGAAGTCAAATGTAATACCTTTTTTAAGATCCTTTTCATACATTTTAAGACCTCATCGCCACTTGGAGTTTTAACCGGTTACATTGGCGACACACTTTACTCACATTTACTATATACAGTATGGATTGTTAATTAATTAATACTTTTTAATAGCCTTCATTTTCGCTAAATTGATTTATCAACTTTTAATACTTTTTAAGACCCCGCGGACACCCTGTACAAATTGACATGTCATGAAATAATTACCATTCCTACAATTTCAAAAGTCACCTTTTCTGCAAGAGACTCCTCCAGGGTGGTGAGAGCGGTGTCAGTGTTGGAGGTGTCTGCCTGCAAAGACTTGACTCTCTCCCTCAGACTGCTCATCTGCTTCTCCTTGTCCCTCAGCTGCTCCTGCAGGTTTTCAATCTGCAGAGCAAACACAACAAGCAACCATCCCATTAAACATTAGCCACAGGACATACATTGAAGCATGATAACGGCATGTGGTGGTTTCAGACAACACAAGGCCTCACCTTCTTCTGAAGCACATTCACTTTGCGCTCTTTAACCTCCAGCATGTCCTTCAGGTCGTGGATCTCCCCGTTGAGAGTGCCCTTCTCTTCTGACATTTCCTGTATCTGCTTGCTCTTCTTATTAAGAGTTGCCTCCTTCTCTTCCAAGCGCAGGCGCAAGGCATCCACCTAGTCAAGCAGAGGCAGACAGCTTACAAACACTGACCATAATCGTGACAAGTAGTCAGATCAGCTGAGATCCGCCCCTTCCACCGAGGTCTTCAAAACCGGCCTTAAGACCCTCTTCTTTCGGCAGGCCTTCCAATAAACTTTTAGCATGGTACATCTGGAGTATTGCCATTTTTATCGCTATCTCCGACTTTTATTTTATTTATTATTTTAATCTTTCAAATTGTATCAGTGTCCTTTGCTGTGAAGCGCTTCTAGATTTGTCTTGGCAGATGAGAAGCACTTTATAAATTAAATGTATTATTATTATTATTATTATTAAGAAGCTAAAAAACACATTGAATCTTCTGAACTTTTGTTTATGATTTTATCAGTCATAAGTAAAAGGAACATGTATTTTTTCACCCCGGACAACATATGCACTCTTAAAGTGGTCTTGCTTTACAACTATTCCGCTTGGCAAGAGTGTATTGGTAAGGATCTGGTGTACCTCAGTCTGTAGGATGGCAGCCCGCTGCTCTTTGGCAGTGAGGGACTCCTTGAGGACTTCAATGTGCTGCTTGCTGTCTGAGAACTGGTTGGCGAGGGTCTCCAGCTTGGTCTGCAAACCAAGCATCTCTGTGTCCTTCCTTGAGAGGTCCTGTTTCACCTGCTCCATCTAAAAAAGATGAAGCCATGGGAGAAAGAAAAAGGGAGGGAAATAAATGACCAATGGCAAAGCAGTTTTGGGTAAATTCAAGGCTGGAAAAATGCAAAGAAAAAATCTCCATCTAAATGAAAGGCTTATTACAACAGTCAGACTAAACTCCAGCTCGTGTTGGGTCATACCTTGTTCTTCATGAATTTCGTGTGGCTACGGTAAACCTCCATCTGCTTCATCTCCTCCTGGCGCTCCTCACAGCTCAGAAGTCCATTGGATTTTAGCATCAGCAACTCCTCCTCCATGTCCCTGAGGCCCCGCTCCATTGAATTAATTTTTGCATCCTGGGGTTGATGACGAGAGGTTCACAAATAGAATGAATATTTTTTAGCCAAATCTGACAAAGAAATACTCATACACAGTTAATCATTTAATCCCTCACCTTCATGTCGATGACAGTCTGTAGAGCCTTTGTTTTGGTGGACTCGGGGGTTCCCTCGTATCGACGGTGCAGCTCCTTTTGGTCAGAAAAAAGAGGAAGTTGTTACATGTGGGTACAAACCATCTATGTGCAGTTTTATTTCAGAGTATAACATTTGATAAAAACATCATATGTAGACTAATTAGATGCAGTGTTTTATCTGCCATGGTTGGATGGACATTACCTCTCTTAGTGCATTAATCTCTCTGTCTCTCTGGTCCAGTAAACTCTCAAGGTGATGCCTGTGCATCTCTGCATCCGCCAGTCTCCTGGTCCGCTCCTGGTCCTCCTCGGATGCCTTTGCAGAGGGCCCTGTGACCAATTACATAACACCTTGGTTACAATGATGAAGTACATGACAAACATTGCACAAAGTGTTTTTAACAGCAAGAATGAACACCATAGGCCACGATGTAAACCTTCAGAGGCTTACACAGCAGCTGAAGTTTCCTTTCACTTTTCAAACTGTACCTCATCTTTTAGCATTCACAACTCCACAGCCAACATTAAAATAAAATAAAAAAACATTTACAATAAATAGGAAATTCTCTGGGGCTTTCTTTGGATGTCCTCTTGGTTTTGCACCTAGCTTTTCAAAAGGGATATCTCTTGATACTTTGTGCCACCAAGAACCATCACATTAGAATATTTGGGGATTCATCCATGCACAGATCTTTGCATTCAGCCCTCAGATATTTTTAGCCTCAGAAGCATGCTTGAGTTGAAACCATGCACTGTGGTTAGTTATGGAGCAGAAACCCATACTTGGCCAGCAGGCGAGAGCGCTTGGCTGGAACTGAGGAGAAACAAGTACCAACCATCGTGGCTTTAAGTGATAGCCTCAGACCAAAACCTTATGAGACCCAAAAGGCTCTTGGAAAATCCCATTGACTTAGTAGTTTTAAGAGTTGCTAGTATTCCTGTTGACTTAAATCAAATACTGAAAAAGGACTCTGAACTGGCTTCCAAATCAAGCCAAAGTATTCATACTTTGATACTTTATCAAGGCTCAATTCGTTTTAAACTTTTCCCCCAACTCAAACTGACCTTTGCTCTGCAGCATCTCCAGAAGTTTCTTGATGGACTCGTCTCTGGCCCCCAGGGTTTGCTTCTGTGTGTCAATCCTCAGCTCCATTTCCTCCAGGGTCTTTCTAAGGAGGAAGAGCTCTTTGGCCTGCCTCTCGTATTCTGCCTGTAGCCGCCGGTAGTTCTCCTCCGTGGGTTCGGATGACAGAGCCAGGTCCCGGCCTTGGATGGAGGGGTCCTGCTGGAGCAGCTGGTTCAGGTCCCTCTGGATCCTCATCTCGTCCTGAAGGGCCTGAACAGTCATCTGGAGGTGCTGGGAAACAAACAAGAGACACATATTTATTTGTTTAAATTTCTCTTATCTTCTGTCTGTTTGCAGGACTTTATTACAGAAGTATTATCACATGGGTATATAAGGTACAATTACAACAACACAGTGGCTGCTCTCGTCCCAGCGTATGGAAATGGATCCTGGCAGAATATTGTGTTACAGCATTTTAAAAATCAGCCTCTAATGATGACTGCAAATTCTGCAGTGGCCTGACAGATGCACCCCCAACAGCCAGGCATTGTGGACAGTGTTATGTTTCATGCCCGGAGAAATACAAGTGGTGAAACACAATCAGCCCAGTATAGTGTTGCATTGTTTGTGGCATCTGACGCCACAGAGACTTGGCAGAGCTGCTGTGAGACAGGGACACAAAGCTGTGTTACACTCTGGTCTGAACCAGCTGCGAGCGTTTTCAGGCGACAGAACAAAGAGAGAAGTCAGTGTCTGACTTCTTTCTCTCAGTCCTCCTCCACCAGCCCCCTCCCTTTCCTTTCTTTGTCATTCTCTTCCTCACACACTGTTCATCTATCTTACCTCGCCCTATCTCTTCCCTCAAATACTCTCACCTCTCCTCTCACCAACCCTCCCTTTCCATCACCTTCTCCACCCCGTGACTAAGGCTGACTCACTGCTGTGACTGCACCGATCCACCCTCCACATACACACAGGCAGACACATGCACCAACACACGGAATCACACACGGAATCACACACACACACGCCTTCTCTCTTTCTCAGCTCTCATATTCTCACTCCCTCTGCCTGAGCAGATATAACTGTCAGGCGTTTGAGGGAGCACAAAGGATGGGAGAACTGATGCACCAACTAAAGTGGTCCAAACACTAAGTCACCACTCGTAAGGGCAGAGTGCACACAGGCACAGCACTGGGAAACTGTTTACAAGGCAGATTGTTTAAGATGCTCATCATCCCTTTCTTATCTATTCCAATAACATGTGTCTTACTGTTTTACCACTAGGGTTGGGAACCGAAACTCGGTTCCAGATGAGAACCGATAAGAAAATGCTGGGTACCGGGTACCCATACATAATACACAATTTTGGTTCTGCTTAACGGTTCCTAAACGCGGTGGACCCTGTATTCCAGCGGGTCCATCTGCGCCGTAGTGACCCGGTGGAATACAGGGCGGACCTGGAGAATCACAGAACGGCCCGCTGACGGCCGGCTCGGTAAGCTGACGGCCGGCACCGCCCTTAATTTTTTTAACTGGCATCATGTAAGTTGCGCTGACAGGCGACAGAGGTCCACAGTTGCCCCGCAGCGAGGCTCCCCCCGCCCTCCCGTAGACAGTTCACGAGCTCAGTCACTTCATAACACCAAAGATGGATCGCGATAAACGCTCTAAAGTGAGGCTCCACTACACTAAAAAAGAAAAAGACAAGGCACAGTGTAATGCCTGTTAATAGCTTTCCACAGGCATAGCTCAGTTAAAATAAAGCACAGCTATTGTGCAATACATTTGTATTGCATGTGTTATTTATTATTTGTAAAAATGGCAGTTAAAGCTTAAAAGAATAAAGGTATTTTTGTTATCTAAACTTTTGACCTCTTTCTTTTACAATTTTGGAATCGAAACGGGGAATCGATAAGCAGAACCGGAACCGATACATTTCAGAACCGAAATCGGAATCGATATCCCACAATAAATGTATTATTATTACAATACTACAATCTAATTGGTGTAGTCATATTTTACATATGCATTTGTTGTATCGTACGTTTACTCTCTTGTATTAGCGAAGATATTCTATCTGGCAATACCAACAGTCTGAAGTTACAAATTTATGTCCACAACAGTGCAAAACTTTATAAGTTACTGATCTTATTACTTTGAGATCAACATAAAAGTAACACGATAGACATATACCAAGTGAGTATACCACTACCACATTATACGAAGAATGCCACAATTTAACACAACTGTTTACTTATCTCAAACTATCTGACCATAAGCTTTTTTCTAGATCCTACTATGGACAACCTTAGCATCGTGTAGTGGTGTTATATCTATCAACTAAATATCCCTTAGCTTCTCTCCTTATATTTCTATCTATATCTATCGCTCGTCTAAAATGAACTACTTTCCTTCATATAGGTAATCCGCATCTGCTTTCCTAGAACGTTCGATTATTACCATTTTTCCCGCGAGTTGTAATTCGATATTCTCTTGTACATACATGAAGACTCGTCTTCTTCTGAAGGCCTGTCATTTGTAATTATCATAGCAAAAGTCCACTATCAACACGTTTTCGTTCGTATTCCTGTAGTGTATAAATATGACAACGGCACGTGTTTTATCATTTTCAACCTTCAAACTATGTATCTTGTTTTTTAGTACCTGCTTGTAATTCGTTTCACTTCTACTATCCTCTCTCGTTAATAAACTCGCTTCGGTGATGTCCTCAACATGAAAATCCCTTGCACGTTTATTCCCAGTAATTACTTCTCTTTATCGGAAACAAGTAACAAAACATAAAAGGATTTTCACCCGCCATAACCGCTACGCTTCCTTTTTTCTCACTGTTATCGTTAGTTTAGTCTAGTGTCGTCTTAGTCTATTCATCTCGACAAAAAATGTGTGGACCGTTCTCTTATGTCCTTCGCTGTCCCTGTCTGTTTAAGGTTCGTATACGGGCATGTTACTCGTTATAGTCACCTCCGTCGTCATTCTAATTGCTTACAACCCTAACTGAAAATGTACCTATATGGTTGAGTGTAGGTCTAGGGTGTTACTGTGCTCAGTGGTATCGTCGTTCCTGCCCGATGCACATATATCTTTGTCCGTCCGTTCCGTGTCAGTCACGTCTGTTCTTCTCTTGTCTGTCCTGGAAGTTCGCAGTAAAGCCTGAATTATTATCGGTAAGTACAAGTTAAGACGTCTGGTGTCTTAAGGTCACAGTGTCGACTGTGGTTGTAACTCAGCCTCCAATTAACGATCCCGCACGTATTTAAAGACGTTGACATCCGAGTTCAACACAGTAAAAACCACAAGACTAACGTATCCCAAAATATCAACACGTACAGTTTCGATAGGGTTTAGGGACGATTTATTGTAAATAGAATCATATATTCCCATCACAAAAGGTTGAAAAATTAATCTTTCAGTCCATACGTGTTTTTTTTTTCGTGACACAGTGTACCCACTTCTTTTACTTACATAATATCCTCCAGTACTACTACCACTGGCAAAGTAATC